CAATGACAATTTATGCTGGAGAGGTTGTATAGAAAGGGAAACACTCCTCCACTGTTGTTGATAGTGCCAAGTCATACAGACACTTTGGAAATCAGTATGGAGATTCCTCAGGAAAACCAGAATCATTCTAACAAAAGATTCAGCAACTCCACTCTTAGGCATATACCCAAAAGGTGCACATTCATACAACAAGGATGTCTGTTCCACTATGTTCATAGCAGCATTATTTGTAGTAGCCAGAACTTGCGACTCAAAGTTCCTAAACAGAGTTTGTAGATCAATTTAGAGACATTGAATGGAAATAATCGCTTGTTTGCAGAGACAGAAAAAGTAAATCAAGGCTATTCTTGAGTGTCCAGTAAAAGTAAATCAAATTTATTTTAAGTATTCTGCATCTCATTGTTTTTCCTTCTCTTTGATCTGTGAGGCTGAACTGTTTTTCTTTTTTTTTTTTCATTTTTTCTTTTAATTTTAAATAGTTTGTTTTACATGTCAATCCCAGTTCCCTCTCCCTCCCCTCCTCCCGCACTCCCCTTCCCCCCCACCCTCCCACCCTATTGCCAAATCCTTCCACATAGGGGATATCTAGAGTCTGTCATTTTACTCTGGGTAGGGTCCAGGCACTCCCCTAAGAGCCCAGGCTGAGAGAGCATCCCTCTTTGTGCTATAGGCACACGAAGACTGTTTGTATACCAGGGATAGACACTGATCCACAGCTCAGGGCCCCATAGGTTGCCCAGGCCTTCTTGCTGACACTCACATTTGGGGGGGTCCAGTTCAGTCCCATGCTGGCCTCCCCACTGTCGGTCTGGGGTCCAAGAGCTCTCCCCTGTTCAGATCAGCTGTCTCTGCTGGTTTTGCCAGCCCATTCTTTGCCAATTTGCTCATCACTCCTCTCTCTCTGTCACTGGGTTCCTTGGGTTCAGTTCAGTGATTAATTGTGTGTTTGCCTCTGCTTCCATCAGTCACAGGATGAAGGCTCCCGGATGGTTATAGGCATCAAGTTCATTATCAGGAATGGGCATTCGAGGTGGTCTCTCCACTATTGCTTAGCTTGCCAATTGGTGTTATCCCTTTAGATCTCCTTTTGTTGTCTTATTGCTGTAGCTAGAACTTCAAGTACAATATTGAAGAGATATGGAGAGAGTGGACAGCCTTGTCTTGTTCCTAATTTTAGAGGAATTGCTTTGAGTTTCTCTCCATTTAGTTTGATGTTAGCTGTTGGTTTACTGTATATTGCTTTTATTATATTCAGGTACGTTCCTGTTATCCCTGATCTCTCTAGGACCTTTATCATGAAGGGGTGCTGGATTTTGTCAAAGGATTTTTCAGCATCTAGTGAGATGATCATGTGGTTTTTCTTTCGCAGATTATTAATATGGTGGATTACATTGATAGATTTTCTAATGTTGAACCATCCCTGCATTCCTGGGATGAAGCCTACTTGATCATGGTGGATGATTTTTCTGATGTGTTCTTGAATCCGGTTTGCGAGTATTTTATTGAGTATTTTTGCATCAGTGTTCATGAGGGAAATTGGTCTATAGTTCTCTTTCTTAGTTGTGTCTTTGTGTGGTTTGGGTATCAAGGTAATTGTTGCCTCGTAGAAAGAGTTTGGCAGTGAGCCTCCTGCTTCTATTGTGTGGAAATTTAATATTACAGAAAACAATTTTTAAAAATAAAAATGGATCAATAAGTGTGACATTCATCTTAGATGAAAAGAACATCTCTGAAAAACAGCCAGAATGTGAATTTCTTTAATTTTCCTTTCAATCATTGCTTTACTTCTTCGTGGCTTATGTGAGCCAAACTCTCTGTTCAAACACAGAAGCTGAAATGTCTGTCCAAAAGTATACATTGAGTTTTAACACATTTTCAGAAGCATAATTTACACATCATCAAATTCACTCATCTGAAGTGTAAATTCAGTCATGTTTTAACATATTTACTAAGTTTTCCAGCAATCACTACAATCTATTTTTAGAATATTTCCATCCTCACACCCCACTGTCAGGCAAGGTAGCCACTGCTCTGCTTTCTGTCTCCTCTCTGGGGATTGCCCACAAACACAATCATGTGTTCCTTCCATCTGATTTCTCTCCTTCTGCTACTTTCAATTTGTGCTTGTAACTTCTCTCAATATTTGATTCCTCTTCTCCCTCCTTTTCCTTCTCCATACCTTCTCCTTTCCCTTTACTTCCTGCACGGTACTTTTAATCATACTACTCTACTTGTGCTATTGAGAATGGGTAATTTGCAAGATGCCTGATTTCATTTCTTGATTCTCAGTGCTTGAGCATTCCATGTCAAGGATCCATAATGTCCATGTCTGATCAGAGTGTACTCTCCACTTCAGATTTGTTGTCATGTCCTCACATGGTGAGATGTAAGAGGAAACCTAGATAATTCTCCTAGTATTTATAAAGTCACTGTTCCTATTTAGAAGGTCTGTGCTCATGACGACCTGTGTAAAGGTTTAGTTGTGTAAAACTATTACATTAGACATTTAGGTTTCAACCTAAATTTTTGTTTGAACACATTCCCATCTATGTTGTTTTCCTCAAGTAGGAACAGTTAACAAAACAACGAAACACATTTCATTACAGCAGTAGTGCTAAAAGTCTTAACATATGAACAATTAAGTTCAAAACCTGATTAAGACAAGCGATATTAAATCCTTTGGCTCAAGGATAGTTGGCTAAAACTCTGTATCAAAGGTTATAGATACAATGAGCAAGGACTAGTTCTTAATGCCTTTGGAAGTTTCACCCAAATGGCTTTTCTGGTCACAGCCTACACAGGACACTTCACAGATGAGAGTGTTGGAGCACTAACTCTCCCAGGTATTGTGTGATTCTTTCTCTCTAGTTGTGTTGTTGGAGGCAGCTTCATCAAGTCTTTACTAGGCAGTATCACAGCAGGTGCTTTCCTTATCTATCCCAATCCTAAGGCTGTGTTATTTTTGGCTTTCAGTAGTCAGGGTGGTTTCCAAGATCACTGGAATGACTTCAGGGTCCTTCTTCTATTGTGTAGATGAATAGCAAGCACCCAGCGTCCCTTTTCACACTAATCTCCTACACTTGGTGTTTTCTCATGAGAACCATTTTTTTCCCAATCTACCAGGATGATGGAGGCTTTTCTGAGGCAAGTCATGCTATTTCCCTTTATTCTATCCAAAGATAGAATTCCCTATAAATTATATTTTTAAACAGTTTTTCTCTTCCATGATTTTAGTATATAATCTGAAAATGGCATGAAACACCCCCAAATACTTAGAGATTGCTGCTCGCAATGATTCTAGTTTATCACTCTTAAATTCTGTCTTTCCTAAAGTCATGGACTTAATGTAGTCAAGTTATGCTGCTGTGTTACAAGTGCAACTTTTCCTCTGCTTTCCAGTAAAACATCCATTTCTTACCTTCAACTCATTAGGATCATCTTCATTATATAATGTTCAATTAACCTTCTACTGACTCATTCCGTAATCTTCTGCCACAATTCGGTTTTCCTTTACCTGGAGAGTGCTGCCCTAAGCAACACATTCAATACGATACAGTACTATTGTCCATGTTCCCAGTTTTCCAGCCATTATCCATTTGCCTTTCCCAAAGCTGATTCATCATCTATAGGCATTCACTAAGTCAAAACCCTGTTGATCCATTCTTGTAAAACTGAAGAGGAATGAATAATTTATAAGTTACATAAAGTTTGTTTCTAACAGATTCAAATGAGAAGATGTTACAAAATTAAGTTCTGTTCCAATTGGTGTCCAATGAGGGCCTTCTCTCTAATTCTAAGACAGTGACTTTTTGCTATCTTATCACAAGGCAGACTGTAGAATGACTGAACATATTTATGTATTCATCTTCAGTCCTTTTATGAGATTGACTACCCACCTGTCTGAGGACACTACCTTCATGATTTTCCATCTCCCAGAGACTCTACATTATAATACTTATATATAAACTGGAATATCCTTCTTCAAATCAATTTTTTGCATACTGAATTTAACGTTGCAAATTTATTATTACTCTTCATTATGCACAATATATTTATCATTCATTGTCTTTTAATTTTTATTTTATAATTGAGAAATGGTACTATATCTAATGCTAGTTTAATAATTCTAATTTGTGGTTATAATCTATCATTTCGAGTTTCTACATTGTATCTTTTTAAATATTACTTTCTTACTGTAGAAGTTTGTCTTATACTGTAAGCTCCTGTTTGAGAGACATTTGTATGTTAATTTGGTGTATGGCTGTATGGCAGGATACATGTGACTGAATTATTTACAATGAACAAAAGAGAAATTCGTTGTATCACAGTTCTAAAATCTGGTAAGTCCATCATAAAAGTGTTCAAAGTTGCCTGGGGTCTTGTCATCCCATTGCAAAATTCTGGGAGCACAGCATAAGGTTGTTTGTAAAAAAGAAAAATTACACACAATATGGTAAATTATGCCCCCAACAGCAAAGATCTTTCCACAATAATGACAGCAATCCATTTCATGAGATGCGGCCTCAATACTCTTTAAAGGTCCAACCCCTCTCTGTATTGTTAGAATAGTCAATGAATATCAACTAGAATTTTGGCAGCAACAATGTTCAAACTATATGATACATTTATAGTTAACAGTTTTCTGTAGATGTGCACACATATATTGACTAAACTTTATTTTTCCTAGATTTAACAATTTGCTTGTGATAGACTTAGAAATTTCTGCTTTTTATTCATTTGTTTGTTTTGTCTTAACATGCATTTAATATCTCTGGGAGTTGTCTGTTGTGGCTAACACTTTCGGCTATTAAGAAAAATAAAACTATATCTAATTAGTGCAGTCAAATCCTTCAAAGTTATGTTTTTGTGAGGAAAATTGCATATCAATAGGCCAATTATAAAATGTCTCTATGAAATGTTTTTGGTTTTTAAAGAAAAACAATGAAAAATAATGTGTGCAATTTGTGAGTTTTAATATTAATGTATATCTGCTCTTTTAGCATTTGTGGAATTCAGCATCTGGAACGAATTGGCAAGAAACTCAATCTCTTTGACTCCCTTTATTTCTGCATTGTGACATTTTCTACTGTGGGCTTTGGGGATGTCACTCCTGAAACATGGTCCTCCAAGCTTTTTGTTGTTGCTATGATCTGCGTTGCCCTTGTGGTACTCCCCATACAGGTAAACAGAACCTAGTTAACCTTTGTAGGTCAGTGTGAAGCCATGTAAAACTGAAACTTCTCTATTGATGAAAAATCACCTGATTGATTATTTAATACTAATATTGTGCTACGAACAGTTTAATGTATTGCTTGTGTTATTTCAGTAATGTCTTCTTAAATTTTAGTCGACACATTTGTCCTCCAAGTCACAAGTGATAGACTCAATTATTCAACATGTTTTCTTTTAACTATAGATTATCTGACATTACTGATTATGATTTAATGAATTAAATTTGAGAAATAAAAAAGAGACATAAATTGAGGTAGGTTAGAAACTAATTTCTCACAGGGCAGTGGCTGCATACACCATTAATCCCAGAACACAGGAGGTAGAAACAGGCAGATCTCTGTGAGTTCCCGGCCAGCCTGGTTCATAGAGCAAGTTCCAAGAGAGCCAGGACTACACAGAGAAACACTGTCTTGAAAAACAAAACCAAACAAAAACATAAGGCTAATTTCTTATGTTCATCAACTAAAGCAATCTGTGTGCACATTGTGAAGCATTTTGGGAAGTAGATAGATTACAAAGGACAGGCATTTAAGAAATGATCAGTCTCTAATTCCTTATTATAATGAACGTTGATTGCCCATAAGTGAACAAATCAAGAACACAATATGATGAATGAAAAATTAAACTTGCATGCTCATTAAACAACCTTAACCGCTTCATATTGCCGTGCCTACTTCCCTAACATTCCTCTACAGCACTCTTCACTGCAAAACTAGCACGGGGCATTGTGTGTGTCAATGCAACTATCTCCCCTTGTATGGTATGCGCATGAAGAAGGATTTGGATTAAAGTTGGCAAAGTTGTTACCTTTCACGTAGTGAGTGATATTTTACATCCTACTTCCCTGGACACAATACACATGGCCTAGCTTCTTAGTGACCTGATATGGTATAATAATAAAATGATTCCAGTGCTTTTGCTTGGAGACCTGAAACTCCTGGGCCTCATTTGAATTTTCTGTGGAAATCATGTGATCAGACTTTGTTGAAAGGGAGACTGATACTTTGGAACAATTATTTCAAGAGTAAGAGATTCTATATACCTGATAACAAATAGAGCACTGCCTTGGGTTTTCATTTTCATGTGTGATGTTTTTCATTCACATGTGGAAAATTCATTACAGTTTGAACAATTGGCCTATTTGTGGATGGAGAGACAAAAGTCAGGTGGAAACTATAGTCGTCACAGAGCTCAGACTGAAAAGCACGTTGTCCTGTGTGTCAGCTCATTGAAGATTGACTTACTTATGGATTTTCTAAATGAATTCTATGCACATCCAAGACTGCAGGTAAATTTGAATTATATTATGTAGAATACTGCATCATAATTAATAGCACATTAACCGATAGTGAGGCTTGCATTCTGGCAAAGTTTAATTTGTATGTCCACATTTAAAATGGGTAAATGAAAGATTATAAATATAATGAGGAACATAGAAAAATGCCGGAGGAATAAATAGCCTTGAGGTTCCCTTCTGTACCTGTGCTAAAATACAGGTGGGACTTGTTATTGCTGGAAAAGAGGACCTATTTGACTTAAAGGATTGTTGTTTTCTCTCTTGGATCAAGCATAAATGATAATTTTATGAAGTAGTGAGTTTTAATATGAAATACAATTAAACAATGAAGAAACCATCTTAAAAAGTATAGTTATAAGTGTTGGTGACTGGAATGTCATAGTATACAAATACAAGTTCCTTTTGGTAAGGTTTTAATATTTCTGTGTTTTTGTGTGCATGTGTGTGTGCATATGTGGGTTTGTGCATGTGTGTGTGCACTTATGTTGGTTAGTGTGTCTGTGTGCGTGTGTGTATGTGGGTTTCTGTGTGTGTGTGTACATATGTGGGTTTGTGTGTTTTTGTGTGCATGTGTATGTATGTGTGTTCATGTGGGCGGGCATATGTAGCTTTTTGTGTGTGTATGCATCTGTGTGTACGGGTTACTGCAGAAGTTACAATATTGTGTTAGGTCCCTGAGGGTGGTGTGTAGACTCTTAGGAGCTGCTGGGAACCAAATTCAGTTCCTGTGTAAAGAGCATGCGTTACTCTTACTTTTCAACCCATCTCTTCTGTGACTGGAAGTTCCCTTTTGTGTATTCATTTACTGGAGTAAGCACTATTGAGACAAAGTAGATTTAGGTATTCTTTTGGTGCAATTTATCCAGGTCAATGAAGAAGTAGTTCCTTGTTTTGTTTTTCCTGAATGAATTTGTGTGAATAAAATCTTACACAATGCTGAATATGGATATAATTCATAAATGATATCTAAAATACATAGTGTTTTGGTTTAACAATTTATTCCTATATTATGTTTTTAAACTTTTCCATAAACTTTGATTTTCTATGTGACGATTATATATTATACTAAATCTAACCAGATAATAATCTCATAAAAATTAACTCTATCTAATAACAATATAGAGATTCTAAATATTACACATTTTGCTGCAGATATATTTTAGAGGACTCTAATAGGGAATGATTTCCCAGAGAAACCAAATCTTTACAGATTAGTTTTAAGTCATTTTACATTTTTTCTGCATTTTCCAGGTCTATGAAGGATGACACACTTGGAAATATTTTGACCTAAAACTTTTTTTTTAATCATTCATTGTTTTCAATGTACCTACAAACTCCTAACTACATAGTTTCATCAGAAGTTGCTCCAAGATATCATTCCATAATAAGATATTAGTTAAGTGACTTTAAGAAATTCAGTTTAAAAGCAACACTTGGATATATGCATTGACTTTTAAACCTTTCTCTGTCCCATTCAGTGTGTATTTTACACTCACTCTGCATTGCTAACTAATCTGAAGAAGTGTGTGGCGCATACTCCATAACGGCCTTCCTTTGTAGTGTTGATATAATAGAAATAGCTCAGGATGACTGCTTGTCTTTCTAACTTAATGTTTATCATAGTGCAATCTTATTTAATTCAGCTTAGTTTTTGATTGTTTTTGTCTTTCCAGACAGAATTTCTCTGTATTGCTTTGGAGGTGGTCTTGGAACTTGCTGTGTAGACCAGACTGGCCTCGAACTCACAGAGATCCCCCTGCCTCTGCCTCCTGAGTGCTGGGATTAAAGGCGTGTGCCACAAAAGCCTGGCCTAATTGGTCCGAATTTAATGCAAATTTTATTTATTACCCAAGGATTCGTTTCACCTTGATGATAAAGAATAAATCTTTACGTATTTTTTGAACTGCTATGGGATAACACAAAGCATGGTTGTGTTTATGCCATGATCCATTTTACCTTGAATAGGATTATTATGTGGTGATTTTGTGTCCTACGGAGATGGATGTGCAAGTTCGGAGGGTGCTGCAGATTCCAATGTGGTCCCAGAGAGTCATCTACCTTCAAGGCTCAGCCCTTAAAGATCAGGATCTCCTAAGAGCAAAGTAGGGATCTCCGCCACATTCTATCTCTCTATTAATCTCACTCCTCTGTTGACTTTATCCTCATACGTTTTGAAAGATACGTGTCACACATATTTGAATGTATGATTTAGCTTCTTTTTAGTAAATATAGAATAATAATTCTAGAAGTATAGGCTCTTGTTTCCTACTTTTGTTTTAGGTCAGATGTTAGTATAGCTGTATACACTGGTGATGAGAGGTATTCAGACTTCCCATGAATTGAAGCCTCCACATTTCACAATTCTGCTCTTATTTCAGAAATAAAAGACTTGGACTAAATATTATGTGAGATATTAAGTATGTTCCAGGGTTTGAATTTTAAGGAGGTTCCAACATGCACTCAGCAATACCTTTCATGTTGTTGGGGTCAAAATCTGAAGAATCCTCAGAGCTGGAAGAAACAGGATCCTGAGAAGTCCTGGGGAATAACCATCATGATGTTCATATGCCTGTTAATAGGTCTTCAAAGGTGACATGATCTAACCATTTGTTTTGGGAAATTGTCTCCTAACACAGAAGCATAGTGAGGGGGTGGACTGACAGGACTGAGGTCACCAAGGGATCAGGGATAACACAAAATATTTTCCTTAGCTTCAAAACCAGGAGAACTCTCTAGCAGGTAGGACTTTGTAAGACCCTGCTGCTGCTATTAAAGATTTAAGCGTGTCTTCATGTTTTCCCTTGGATGCTCAACATGTACACTTTAAAATGAAAAGATTTCCTCATCACAATTGATAACTTAAGACATTTTGCTTTCATGACTCAATGTCCCAAGTGATGTTTAGGTATCCAGTATTTGTGGATTCTCACCTTACTTTTGATTTATTAAGAGGAAAATACATTTAACTGAGGTTTATTTCATTTAATGACTCAATCTAAGAAACAAAACAATAACCATAAATACCACAATAGAATGAATGGTAAACATTGAAAAACTAAAGAGTATATATTTTTCTTAGAGTATATCTCTATTAAATACTATAGATCACAGTTCTATAAGCAGTCAGTTCCTGAATTCTAATGAGAATTGGAGATTTAACTATTTTGTATTTGAAATCTATATAATTATTAGAAGAAAATGACACATTTCCACCATCTAAAGGTCTGTTTTCTTTTGTCTGTATAAATCAAAAGCCTTAAATTGCTATGAGTTTAGTTATTCAGACAGCTTGTCCATGGTGTGTTGGTATGCTTGAGTGTGATGGAAGCTTTTTGTTCTGGGAATCGAATATAGGGTCTTTGTTTTAGTTGTAGTTATCTCAGATTTAAATTCTATGTGTCATTACGCGTAATGATTTTCCACAAAAGGGACACATTTACAGAAACCATCCATGTGAATTAAAAATAGATAAATTATAGAAAATGGATGACCAGAGACTATTGGTTAGCTATCACTGTTCAAAGAGCTGGGCTGAGCAGGACATCACTTAGGGTGACAGTGTATCTATTGTGTGTGCATGTCTAATCCTAATTTCATATAAAATATCCTGGATTTAATGTGAACTAATACATTCTTCAGCGTAATTCCCCATGCAAGGAACAAGGAGTAGCAGTTTCCAAACAAGTCACAAAGGTCAGTTACATGGTTTAACTGCTTTACTGAAAACGACACTTAGAGAATGTTGTCTAATACCAATGCTATTTAGCAATCTTGCTTCAATGCTTTCTTCAGAATTGTTTTGTTTGGATTAGTTTCCTGGACTTTTTGTTTCTCTTCTCCAGTGAAAACATATTTTTGAACAATCTAACTTTATCACCATGTACCAGGAAGATAAATCATTACTCACTTGAAAAATAAACATTCCCATGTTTTAAAGTCACTACTTAGGAAGGACTAAAACACATTTTTAGTTACTAATTTTAAGAATTAAATAACATTATCATGAGGAAAAAGGGTTTTGAACAAAAGGTTAAGCAGTCCCCTGGAAACATAAACAAGCAGTGGAATTTGACTTAAAACCACTAATTGTATCTGTTACCTCTCTCTGAGCAGTTTTAGCTGAGATGAGCTATCCATAAAATCAAGATCGGTGGTATTCCTAATATGTGCAAAGCATAATAAGGAAAATATAAAAGCTAACTTCAACTTCTTCTCTTCTGCAGTAAATTCTGAAGCTCTATGCCTAAGCAAGCAGTTTTTCGCACAAATGTAGCCATGTTGGGCAAGATATCCAACAGTCCTTTAAGTTTAAGGACATGCAAGTAGGATGCGGACCAGGCAATGGCATGGATGTACCAGCAGCATTTCAGACACACATGTAGGATAAAGACCAGGCAATGGCATGGTCACAATGGCACAATCACAACTGCACAGTCACTCCAGCAGCATTTCGGTGTGGTCACTCTGTCTGTCTCCTGTCTGTGTTTAGGATGGACAATGCAGAGGCCTGTTTCATCCTGAGCAGCCGCTGTGAAGTAGACAGGACATCATCTGTAAGTACCTGAAACCCCCAAGTAGACTTTGCTTTCTGCTATGCAAGATTTGTGCTTCATGTGAGTCAGAGCATAAACAAAGAACAAAGATAGGAAACAAGCAAACAAACAAACAAAAAGAACAAAAGCTACTGCAATGAAATTTTCTAACTTTAAATTTTCACTAAACTTAAGCAAATATTTATTAGCTATGAGTATTTTTATATTAAAAGCATTGCCCCTTCTGTCAACAAAACTGTTATACTAATCTTCTACCCACTTTCTCTTAATCCTCTAAATATGTCCTACAGAATAAGTTTCATTAAGATGACCTAATTTTCCCTAACTGTAATTAAAAGCAGATTACTCAAGCAGATTATAATGGAATCAATTGGAGAATTTCTTTAAAAAAATATATGTATATACTGTTTTCAAATTTTTTTCAAGGTATCTAGATAGTGGGGACTGAAAAATATTCATTGTTTAAAAAGTTTGTAGGGATCATTTTGGCAACTTTTGACTTAACAGAATTTCTGTGATTTATTGTTTAAGTCCAAACTTCAATAAATCAAAGTAATCTAAATCTAAATGAATTACTGAATTGTGACTCTGGTTTTCTAAGAGATAGTTTAACTGCACTTTGTTTTTTATGAACTTGGATTTTTAAATCATAACATGATTGGTTATATGACATGGTCACTGCACCTTAATTGAATTCTTTCTTACACATATATTTGCAAATTTAAACACGGTCTCATCCTTCCTTAGAAGATAGTTCCTATGAAGTGATTCTATTTCTACAAGTTTCACATGGTGAAGACATTACTCTTAGTGGCCCAAGATTTGAAATTCTCTAAAGATAAGGTATCAGGAAATGTCTAATATAGTAATGAAGCCACTATTGTGAGTCTATACTCAAAATAATGATGTCTTATATAAGAAGAAAATTTTAAGGAAGGCATATGCACAAAGAGTTTCAAAGGAACATGAAAGTGAATAAAAACCAAATAAAATGCTGAGACTAGAGTCTCTTCTCACAGCTATGGAAGGAGCCACGTTGATACTACCGTGAGTTCCAAATCTAGCATCTTAATCTGTGAGACAGTAGGTTTTGGTGTTTGACCTGAGTTTATGAAGTTTTATCATAGCATCCCTGAAACTAATCATTTGACATCATCCAAATGAATGATCTGAGAAGCTCTCAAATAGTTCTTTTACTTATGCTTTTAAAAAGCAGGGCTGAAGAGATGATCCAGTGGTTAGCCATATGATGTGTAGTGCTTTTGCAAAAAACCAACTTCATCTCCCAGCAGCTTTATCAAGTGGTTAGCAGCTGCCCAGGGGGCCAGCTACAGCAGGTCTATTACCACCCTCTTTTGGCTTCTATGGGTACTTCCACACATGTGCCAACACACACACACAAAAGTAAAAATTTTAAATGCCTTCAATTCTCTCCTTTTTCACATATATTACTTTATTTTAATCCAGCTCTTTCTTCTTTTGTGCAATTACAACCTGAATTTTCCTAAATAGTTTAGCATAAAAGTATTCCAGTTAGCTCTGATAAAGTAGTAAATTTGAAATGCACATGAGTGTGTGTGTGTGTGTTACTGTTTTACATAGAGTTGTCAATATTGTTCACATGACTTTTTAGTTTTACAAATCTTACACTTTCTTAGCAGCAGGGACACACACACATCTATATATTCAAATAATGTGTAGTATCTTGTAGGGTTAATTTCTATCATAATTTGGGAAACCTTTGAAATAAATGCAATCCATTTCTTCCTGGCTATAGTAAATAGGCAAGAAGTCAATAAAAATATCCTTAAGGACTAAACGTTATGCAGATGAGGAAACACTAGTAGAATTCTGGAAGTTGGAAAGCAACTAAATGAGTGTCAGTGACTCATGCAGAGGAAGTTAAAATTTAGGTTTAGAGAGGAAATGCATCACAGGTGGCCGCTGTTGGCAAGAGGACCTCAAAAGCCTTAGGAAAGACAGGGCAGATGCTGCTTAAAATGGGGATTGATGCTCATTGTCGGGGAATGGAGCATATTCTTAGGATATCTCCACACTTGCATTGCTTTCCAAACCCTGGAAGAAGAGGTGTTGTGATTATGCAAATTGTTCTGTGAATCCTCTACTTTCTAAGCCAGAAAGCAAACTTGGGGGGGGGCATCGTTAAATTCTACATCTCAGTGGATAGAGAAAAAATTGTATGGTGTATTATATAGGCTTTTTCAAATATACATGCCTGGGAGAACTGGTAAGTCAGGTGTGTGTGTGTGTGTGTGTGTGTGTGTGTGTGTGTGTGTCTGTGTGTGTCTGTGTGTTCACATATGGGCATGCATTTACATGTTCATATGAGTATACAAATTCAGAAATTGCTGGTGCAATATGTGTTCACCTTATAGTGAAACTGTATATATAATACCACTCTACCAGCATTCTTTTCTTTATTGCCATTTGATAGTTTATGTAGATTAGAAACAATCTTATTTTACATATCAATCGCAGTTCCCTTTCCCTCCCATCCTCCCATGCCTCCCATCAACCCACCCTCCCCTGCACTCCTGTCCCACTCCCTTTCCCCTCCCCAGGGAGAGTGAGGCTTCCATGGAGGATCATCAAACTCTCTCACATCTTTTGGGGTGAGGCATAGTGCCTCCCCTGTGTATTTAGGCAGAGAGAATATTCCTCCATGGAGGAATGGGCTCCCGAAATCCATTCATGCATTATAAATAAGTACTTGTTCCACTGCAAGAGGCTTCACAGATTTCTCAGGCCTCCTAACTGTCACCAAAGTTCAGGAAGTCTGTTTGGTCCTATGCTGGTTCCCCAGCTGTCTAGCTGGGTACCATGAGTTCCCACTTGCTCAGGTCAGCTGTTTCTGTGGGTTTCCCCAGCATGGACAAGACACATTTCCTCATCACTCCTCCATCTCTAAAACTGGATTTGAGGAGTTTGGCTCAGTGTTTCAGTGTGGATCTCTGCTTCTGCTTTCATCCAGTTACTGGATGAAGGCTCTAGGATGGCATATAAGGTAGTCATCAATCTCATTATAGGGAAAGAGCATTTCAGGTAGCCTCTCCAAAATTGCTTAGATTCTTAGCTGCAATCATCATTGTGGATTTCTGTATATATCCTTAGTGGCCGATTTCTCTTTAAATCTATAATGCCTCCCTGTATTGAAGTATGTGTTTCTTTCTTGCTTTCCTCTATTCTTCTCCTATTTAATCTTCCTGATTCCTCATGGTTTCCTCTCCCTTCCTCTTAGGCCTTCCTCTTTCCCCAACTTCCCTGTCTTCTCCCCTACTCCCTCCCTAATGCTTCCAATTTGTTCAGGAGCTCTTGTCACTTTCCCCTTCTCTGGGAAACTATGTATGTGTCTCTTAGGGTCGTCCTTGTTTCTTAGCTTCTCTAAAGGTGTGAATTGTAGTCGGGTAATCCTTTGCTCTATGTTAAATATCCATATATTAGTGAGTACATAACATATTTGTCTTTCTGTGTCTGGGTTACTTCACTCAGGATGATTTCTTCTAGTTCTATCCATTTATCCTGTGAATTTTCGAGATTCCATTTTTTTTCCCACTGAATAGTACTCCATTGTGTAAATGTACCACAATTTCTTTATCCATTCTTCAGTGGCAGGGCATCTACATTGCTTGCAGGTTCTGGCTATTACAAATAATATTGCTATAAACAGAGTTGAACATATGTCCTTGTATGAATGTGCATCCTTTGGGTATATTCCTTAGAGTAGAATTGCAGGATCTTGAGGTAGACTAATTCCCATTTCCCTGAGGAACCGCCATGCTGATTTCCAAAGTGACTTGATGAGTTTATACTCCCAACAGCAGTGGAGGAGTGTTCCCCTTTCTCCACATCCTCTCCAGCATTAACTGTTGGTGTTTTTTATTTTAGCCATTCTAACAGGTACAAAATGGTATCACAGAGTTGTTTTAATTTACATTCCCTTGATGGCTAAGGATGTTGAGTACTTTCTTAAGTGTCTATAAGCCATTTTCAACTACTCTATTAAGAATTACTTCTGAACCCTAATTTTTAATTGGATTATTTGGTGTTTTAGTGACTAGATTCTTGAGTTTTTGCATATTTTGGAGACCAGCCTTCTTATAGATGTGGGGTTAGTAAAGATCTTCTCCCATTCTGTCATCTTCTGTTTTGTTTTGTTGAATGTGTCCTTTGCCTTACAGAAGCTTCTCATTTTCAAGAGGTCCCATTTATTAATTATTAATAATTGATCTCACTGTCTGTGCTAATGGCATTATGTTCAGGAAGCAGTTTTCTGTACCAATTCATTCAAGGGTAGCTGCCACTTCTTCTTCCAGGAGATTTAGTGTGACTGGATTTATGTTGACGTCTTTGATCCATTTGGACTTAAGTTTTGTGAAGATCTATCTCCAGTATCCAGTTATGGCAGCACCATTTGTTGAGGATGGTTTTTTTTTCCATTGTATAACTTTTGCTTCTTTTTCAAAAATAAGGAGTTCATAGCAGTGTGGATTAATATCAGGGCCTTCAATTCGATGCCAATGTATAACTGTCTTATTTTTTGCCAATAACAAGTTGGTTTCATTACTATACCACTATAGTAGAGCTTTAAGACTGGAATGGTGATGCCTCTGGAAGTTACTTTATTTCACAGAATTGCTTTGGCTATCCTGGTTTTTTTTTTAATTGAGTATTTTTCTTGCAAGATCTCTAAGGAATTGTGCTGGGATTTTGATGTGGATTGCATTGAATCTGTAGATTGCTTTATGAAGAATATCATTTTTACCTACCTATTCAGGAGCATGGGAGATCTTTCCATTTTCTAGTATCTTCTTTAATTTCTTTCTTTAAAGATTCAAAGTTTTTAATCATACAGGTCTTTCTCTTATTTGGTTAGTGTTACCCCAATATATTTTATGTTGTTTGTGGCTATTTTAAAGTGTAATGTTTCCCTGATTTCTTTCTCACCACAAGGATCGTCTATGTATATTAGGACTATCGTT